TTTTTTATCTAAAAAATTAACAAAATCAAATATTATTGGCTAGCGAGTAGCAAGTTGGTGACATATAATTTGGAACATTGTAGCTTTTAATTTGAGTGGTGGATTTGGGATACAAGTATACAACATCACAACCAAGTGAAAAGAAAAGGAAAAATAAAACGAATAGGAAGAAGATAACTCAAGAAGTGATGTACCTACGTCGAACTAGTTTTAGATTCTTGAAGATGACGAGATACGAACTGTAGTAGCGACTCGTATGTTAATGTCATTCCCAAAATATTATAAATATAGAAATAGAAACATAGGGCTTACACGAAGAAAACATAAAACAAGAGATCAAAGATCATGTCATTAAGTCCGAGAGACCCTCTTGTGGTAGGAAGAGTAGTGGGAGATGTTGTTGATCCTTTCATGAGATTGATTTCTCTTAAGGTTGCTTATGGCCAAAGACAGATTACTAATGGAATGGATCTAAGGTCTTCTCAAGTTCTGAATAAACCAACGGTTGAGATTGGAGGAGATGACCTCAGAAATTTCTACACTTTGGTTCGCCATTTGTCTTTTAATTTCATTAATTCTTCACTCATTTATCTACTCTGCGTGAATATTTATATATGCAAGATTTTGCATGCATAATTATTTAAATTTTTCGATTAAGAAACATTTTCTTTTGAATTTTGGTAAATTTTTGGGAATTTTCGCTCCTCCGGTTTATTAATTTCTTTCAATATTTCAAAGTTACAATAAACCTTCTATAAATAAAATAACATTACTTTTAGTATATAAAGATATTAATCGTAATGTACCCTTAGAAATGCATAAATATCAAGCAATTTATACAGTCGGTATATATATATTTATATCTGAATTGAACACGTATATATATTTATATGTTTTGATACATATGGATTGAATCCATAATTTGATATATATGAATTGAATACATATTTGCACATCAGGACATGCAACTACTACATTTTTGTAATGTAATTAACTTTGCAAAAAAATTTAAAGGTTATGGTGGATCCAGATGTGCCAAGTCCAAGCAACCCGTACCTCCGAGAATACCTCCATTGGTTTGTATTTATCACATCTCTAATCGTTTTATTTAAATTTACTTAAGAGAATATACATCCTCGCACTTCTCGTACGAAATTTTTTTTGTGTAGAGATCGAAATTTATAGACCTACACGTGTCTCAAGTGACACCCAAAAATTGACATTGTACTACAGAACTAGAAGGGGACATATAGAATAAACTTTTAAGAGCGGTACTTGTCACTTTAGATGAATTACATGGAGATTCTATTTAAGTACATGACAAGACTTTAGTCAGGTTTAGTTTCCACTTATTAAGAATGTCATGATATCATAGCTAGCGAAAACATGTGTATTTTCAGGTATCACCTAGGCTATATATGTATGCAAATGATTGGGAACTTTATTTGTTGAAAGTATCATTAAATTAAATTATGCGGCTAAACAATATTATAAATCTAATGGATACTCTCATTACAGGTTGGTGACAGATATACCTGCCACAACTGGAACTGCTTTTGGTGAGTTTATTTAATTAACTGATAATATTCACCAAGAACATATATATTCCTAGACAAGAGTGGACATTAGTCTATGTTCTATACGTCTGTTGCGACCATTGGAAGCGTTAATCGAATATATGTTTTGATGACTTTTTGTAAAGGCAATGAGTTGGTGTGCTATGAGAACCCATGTCCCACTTCAGGAATTCACCGAGTTGCATTGATGTTATTCCGACAACTCGGAAGACAAACGGTTTATGCACCCCAGTGGCGCCAAAGGTTCAACACTCGTGAGTTCGCTGAGAACTACAATCTTGGTCTCCCCGTGGCTGCTGTTTACTTCAACTGTCAGAGAGAGAATGGCTGCGGAGGAAGAAGAACCTCGTAGATATATATATACCTCCTCCATCTCAAGTAATTAACCTAATTAGATGTTTATCATCTAGAGGTTCTTGTAATAAATATATTAAGAATCTGATGATATAAACAAAAAGAAGGTGATGATGCATCATGCATGCTAACATCTATAAATAGTACTTTATATATGTAATAATTGAGAGGGAGGAATGAGAATGAAAGTGTTCTTACGTGTATGGTGTCATTGGTGTGTGTTGCGGCATTTTATCTCAATCTAAATATTCTAAGCAACGTTACATATGTTTTCATTGGCTTTTGGATCAATTCTTGTCTCTTAGAAAAAAAGGAGAATAATGAAGCTTGTTATGGCATTTGGAATCTACTTTTTACTTCTCATATATGTATATAGAAACTGAAAGAAAATCATTATCTGATTTAAGTTTAGATATTAATTAGATCACTTCTAGTAAAATATCGAAAGACAAATATCACAAATAACAAAAATTAATTGAATAATTCAAAAAGTTGAAAAGCTCTTGCAGAAAGTAAGATATTTTGAAATACTTTTGCAAAAAATGGATTACTATTATTTCTTATCTTAGAGATGAAATTTGACAAAGACGCCATCTATATGTATAGTAGGTTCCTTCACATCTTCACATAATGTAGTTTTAAATTTATAACCTTTACAAAACCTGATAGCTTATCAAGTGATTTGAGTTAGTGTTACAATCCTAATTCAAATTATTGTAATGCATAAGTAAATTATTCAAGCATTTTTGAAGAAGAAAAATGAACCTTTTTGAAACAAAAAGGTCAAACATATCATAGAAAAATCACAAACACAAACCAATTAAAAAAAAGAGAGAAAATGCTCCTAGAGGTCTCACATCGTTGACTTAGTGCTTCCAATTGAAGATGAATAACAAATGGCTGGACTGGACCATCCCGATCCCCTCCCCCCCCCAAAAAAAAAAGAAGAAGAATATGGAATAAACATTTTGTGTGCCTGAGATGCATTTACAATATGTTATTATTGCACACAGAGTTAAAATCACTTACTTCAGCTATTAAAAAATGATACTTTAATATTCAATATCTCACATATTTGGGATGGACTATAAATAAAGACTTAGGTTTAATAATTCTAGATTGTATATCATCTTCGTGCGCAAAACCGAACTGCCAGAATTTAATTTGGGTTCTAATTTGGCAACTAGTTTCATTTCACTAGAATTGAACCCCCCAAAATAAAACAAACCATATACCTTACTCAAAAAAAAGAAAAAACTTTTTTGGCAAAAACATACACAGTGATAGACAAAATTATTTAATCAAGTCATTGATGCCACCACGCATTGGTTTCATTCTACAATGCCAAGCCCTTAACCACCACTGCAACCATACTGTACGTGTATGTGCATCTATAGATAGAGTAGAGAGAGAGAAATAGAGTAGATCAGATAAAGCAATAGAGATGTTGATCAGTCTCGGCTAGAAAACAACCAAGCGTGAAGCGGCACAAACTCGAACCATTAGAGCATGCGTAACAATGAATCCGTGTTGGAATTTATGATTTTAATTTTTTTATTTTTATTTTTATTTTTCGTTTAATTTTAAAAAAAAATTAGATCAATAGCGTACTATTACGTGGCGTAGGATCCGCATAACAGTCATGAACTAGTTCATTAGAAACAACCGTTGCGAGCCAAATTCATTAAAATAATTATTATAATATTTTTTTTTTTAGAATTGTGTGACTTTGCCTCATGAACCCTTGATGTATGTGTTCTTAGGTCAGCATCACAAGGTTAGGTCATCATCACAAGGCTTAAACCCCACTAAAAATATTTTTAAATAATGATTAAGTTCGTGGGCTTTGAGGTTTAAACCAATAACTAGAAGCCCATTATGATCAAACAATGAAAATCTTATATATTAAAACAGAAGTCACAACCTAGATTCATGTGTGATTTTTTTAAAAATGGACTATTCCTTAAAAAGATTATGAAGGTTATCAAATGTTACATAATTTAATGATAATATCTTTAAATATCTTTATTTTTTTATTTGAAATATAAATGAAATAAATCCAACAAAATCTTTTTGACATCTTTTTAAATTTTANATCTTATATATTAAAACAGAAGTCACAACCTAGATTCATGTGTGATTTTTTTAAAAATGGACTATTCCTTAAAAAGATTATGAAGGTTATCAAATGTTACATAATTTAATGATAATATCTTTAAATATCTTTATTTTTTTATTTGAAATATAAATGAAATAAATCCAACAAAATCTTTTTGACATCTTTTTAAATTTTATTTCCATAATATTATCCCATATATTTATCTTTTATTCGAAATACAAATGTTTTTGTTTAAGATATTAAAATCTATCAAGATAGCATTATATATTCCTAAATCCTAAATAAAAAACTATATATTAGAGTTTAACCCACACAATTTTTTTCTTTTTATAAATATAACACTTTGATAGTATTATAAAAAAAATTAAATATATGATTTACATTTGATGTTATATATTATATAACTCTATAATTTAGTTGTTTAAGTTTTTTATTCTTCATTATTAATATATAGTAATTTGTTTTATATATTTTAATTTATATTCTTATTGATTGTTATTACTAAATAATATATTTTGAGTTTGATACATAAATTATAATTTAAAATAATTAAATTATAATCTTCTTTAATATAGAGTTTTAATTTCTGGAATTTGCATA